GTTAGTTGAAGAAGATTATTTAGTAAGTATGTTCAACTCTATATTTTTATATACATGTAGATACAAAACTGCTATCTGTTCAGCGTTTACTACAGCATATAAAACTTTGTTGGCTTAGTTTATACAATTCAATTGATCTATTATTAAAAGTTTATGAATTATTATCTTCATATTTTTGTGACATCGATAATGAAAATAAAGATACAACAACATGTCCACCGATGATCAGGACGTTTTTTTCGTGAAATATGTCCAAATACACGTTATACTTTTTGCATCAATATCTTATTTGATATTCAAACCAAGAATTTGGAACTACAACAATATAGTACATCAATCGCTGATTGACAATAGAGTCATCATGAGTTTACTCAAAAAGTCAAACGATCCACTTAAACAAAAATATTTTGGTTATAATACACGTTTATTATTAAATTCAATATCAAAAGACGAACAAGAAAAAGCGAGAATACATCCTATTCCGCGATGTTGCACATTGCGGAATCAGTTCCGGGGCGGAACTGATTCCGTCCAATTCCGGGAGCTCGATTATGATTCTACAGAACAGACCCCATCGATATCGATCGAATTCCTTCTGATTCTAGAATTCCTTCCAATTCCCACTAATTCCCTCTCCACTCAATTCCCGGAATTCGTGGAACTCGATTGATATCGAATAGGTCTGTTTTGCTGAATGATGACGGAGTTCCCGGAATTGGGTGAAACTGACTCCGGAGACGAAACTGATTCCGCAATGTTCAACATCATAGAATAGGATGACTGCTCGAAAGGGCAACTTCTTCCTTTACAAAATATTAACCAAATGTCATTAAATATATAAATAAATATTATGAAGAGCATTCTTTATTAGCTAAAACATTATCTATTTTCGGTATATTTTTTATGACTAAGCACGAAGAGAAAAGAATTTCTTTGATTTTAGGAATCATCGAAATTCATCAAATTATATTCGATCAAATCGAACAATGTGTAGCTATTCTTAAACTTGAACTTGATCACGACAAATTATTTGAAGAAGTGATTAGTTTACAATTAACATTTGAAGAGATTGTTTCCTATCGTGAATCACTTTTTGTTCAAATACAAAAGTATGTTGGTGGTCCTAATTTCGATGAAATTGAAGAAATATTTGAAGAAGAAGAATTCATTCATAAGACATCAACACCAAGTCATTAACATAATTGTCAGGATCTGCCATCTATATATATGTATATATGTGTATAGATGACGATCCTTCTGACCAACATATATATGCATGTTGGTTGTTTTTCTTTGTTGTTCTTCGTGGTGAATAGTGTGTGTTTTGCTCTCTCTCTCTAACTCAGTTGTTGTTTTTTGTCAGATAAGGTTGTATCTGTTTTTTGTTTAGACCCGAGAGTGGGCATTATTGTTATTTTTTTTTCTGTTTTGTTGTTTTTTTTACATTTTACTTGTTCAGGTTTCTAATTTTGAAAATAAAGGTAGAAAGAAACCTAACAATAATCATTCTAGAATTCGACCAGATTTACTTTAGACTTATTTGATCTCAAAAACAAGAACAAACGGTCAAGAAATGACAAAAATAATTTCCTGTATTTATTCTATTCCTTGTTCTAATGCTTTTACAGAGGGTATGTTCAGTCATATGAAGCATTCATGGACGCCTAGTCGAAATTCAGTGTCAGTTACAACTGTTGCT